CCTTTTGGGACAACACTTAGGAGTAGAATTGCTGGGTCACACAGGAATTCTTTTTCGCTTTATGGGAAACAATAGCAGTATAGTTTGACAATTCACACATGTTGGGAAGCACAACACCCACAAGACTTCCTACTCATTTAGGAAACAGTTCACTTTTGGCCAGGTAATAGATAAATGAAAGATATATACAAGGAAGGCTATTTTTCAGCAGGTAAGGTGAGACAGGGTTTTTGTACAGGAAGACTTCTGTTGAACCTGTTTCTTAAACCCAAGCAAGCATACAAAACATGCTTGGACGAAATGCAGCCTTTACTACTGTGAGAGGAGGATCATCTCTTTTCAGCCCAAGGTGGGCAGCCTGGGATTTCTAAACTGACATCGCATTATTATTACCACCAATGCCAGGAGATTTTATAAAACCACAGAATACAGCAATGTAAAGTCACAGACATGGTCGGTGCTGACCCAGTGCACCTCCGTAAGGGCAAGGTCGGAAGAGACCTGCAGGAGGGTCTTTCACTGCACTCCACAACCTCTGCATCTCAGTCTCTCAGAACATCCATTCTCATAATCGTGTAACAGCCTAAAATTGTACTAAAATACAAGCAACAAAACGCAATGTTAGGAGAAAAGATGAGCCGTTAAAGGGAGCTAAATGGGCAGTTCTAATAGAATCACCATCTAACACAATCACAACACTCTTTATCTCATGTGAACTTTACAACACCATGAGACAGGTCAGCCCAGTGTTCAGCCCTTTGAGTAAATGAGGAAAAGAAGGTTGAGAAGACTGCTTTACATTTTTTTTAATGCTCCTGACATTAGCCTTTGTATCACATTAAAAAAAAAAAGGGTGAGTTTAGCTGTAAAACTTTAAAACCACTGTATCTGACTATATTCTAGGTCTGCCCCCAAAATAAAAAGCACTGACTTAGTTGGGTTTATATATTTAGAAAACAGAAAAATAATGCTCAAAATGTAATAAAGTCATCTCATATAAAAGGAAGTTTTATTTTTATTATCCTCACCCATGCCTGAAATGTTTAATGACTTCTCTAAGACACTTTGTCCTAAATAGCACCCTGCCTCAAATATTAATTTTTAGGTTTTGAGGCACTAAATGAGTATTTAACTCAAAATTCTGATATATATAATAAGAGAAATCTGAAGTTTAAAGGACTTGTGCAAAATGTGTCATTTATTATGTGCAGACATACAGGCTACAGACATTTATGGCTACAGGTTAGTTATATAGCTATAACTAGTCAATTTAGCAAAGCCTGAGCCCCAGGCTGTAAATAACAGCTACAAAACTGACTCTAGTGGCCCAGAGTTCACCAGCTATCTAAAGGCATAATTTTACAATCCAATGCTTTAGCAGTCACTACAGTAGTTAAGACAGAATTCCTCTCCTAAATGAGTGAGAGGGAAAAGCCTAAGCAAACGCACAGTCCATGGACTGGGAAACCGGTCACGGTTATATTTATATGTGCAGATGTGACAGTTCAGAGGTACTAAAGAATTTGACTTTAATGGCAATACACAGGAACGTTTAAAATACAGTTTAAAATACTTTTGAGGTCACTGAATGTATGAAATAAGACAATGAAAAAACTGGCTTAAAACTCAACATTCAAAAAACTAAGATCGTGGCATCCCATCCCATTGCTTCATGGCAAATAGATGGCGAAAAGGTGGCAACAGTGACTTATTTTCTCGGGCTCCAAAATCCCTGCAGACAGTTACTGTGGCCATGAAATTAGAAAACGCTTGCTCCTTGGAAGAAAAACTGTTAACACATCTAGACAGCATTTTAAAAAACAGAGACAAAGGTCCATCTAGTCAAAGCTATCTATGGTTCTCCCAGTAGTCATGTACAGATGTCAGAGCTAAACCACAAAGGCTGAGCGCCAAAGAACTGACACCTTTGAACTGTGATGTAAAAGACGACTCCTGAGAGTCCCGTGGACAGCAGAGATCCAACCAGTCAATCCTAAATGAAATCAACCCTGAATATTCACTGGAAAGACTGACGCTGAAGTTCCAATACTTTGGCCACCAAATACGACAAGCTGACTCACTGGAAAAGACCCTGATGGTGGCAAAGACTGAGGGCAGGAGAAGGAGGTGACAGAGGATGGGACGGTTGGATGGTATCACTGACTCAATGGACATGAGTTTGAACAAATCAGGGAGACAGTGAAGGACAGGGAAGCAGGGTGTGCCGCAGTCCACGGGGCCGCAGAGTAGCAGACAACTGAACAGCAACAGTCGAATATATTCCTCATTTTGTTCTTCAAAAAAACTACTCAAAACACTAAGGATTTAACCTGATGTGCTCAAACATAACTATGTGACAAATTGCATTTCACACAAGTCTGGAAGTTCAGTAAGTTCACATATATTTGTCAAATGCTAAAATTACTCAACACATCCAGTGCACCTTCAGGAGAAGCAATTCTCCCAATGATTTGCAATAATCAATGGTTTACCGAGGCTACCGTGTTTCAACTACTATACTTTAATAAAGTAATGTAGCTAAATTTAAAGCCACACACTCAATAGTGACTGAAGAAAGGCAGCTCTACAAAAGCTTAATATACATTAATTGAAAGTTAATTATTCAACTCACTCAAAATACAGTTTACAACTGTTGAAATTAAAAATATTTAAGAACCAAGCTATCAAGCTTTCATGCTGAGTAACATTAAGAAAATTATAAAGAAATAAATATGCATACACTCAATGTATCACTTAATTCACACATTTAAATTGGAAGCTAGCTTCCCTGGTGGCTCAGAAGGTAAAGAATCTGCCTGCAATGTGGGAGACCTGGGCTGGATCCCTGGGTGGGGAAGATCCCCTGGAGAAGGGAAAGGCTACCCACTCCAGTATTCTTGCCTGGAGAATCCCATGGACAGAGGAGCCTGGAGTTACAGTCCATGGGATTCCAAAGAGTTGAACACGAACTTCAAAAAGTAGTTTCAAATTATCCATTTCCATCTCAAATAACAATGTACATTAAAATAGTAAATGGTTCAATCCTATAAGGTACCAACAGAAAACATAAAACCAAACTCATTTAAGTTAGCTCACTATTGGGGTATTGTATAACATTCTGTCAATAATACCAGTAAACCAACCAAAAGTAGAAATCACAGTTCACAATCCTTAAACAGCCCTACTGAAAAATGTCTTCAGAAAAATAAGGCAGTCTTCACTTTTAAAGTCAACATAATACACATTTCCCTCCCAAAATAAAAACGTCTTATGTTTTCTCTGAAACTGAAATTTTTTCAAAACGTTTAAGTATGTTAAAGCTTATCTCCCCACCACCCACAACCCAACACACATCCAGTCTGGTGCTTCCCCTGGCACCCAGGTGATGGATGGTCAGAGGTTTCACCTTGAAGGGTCTTCAGGAGGGTTTTCCAAGGATAAGAAGTTCTACATGTTGAGCAATACAAATCTCTCACAAGGGAACTCAGCTAAAATGGTAGGAAACTAAAGTGTACTGAGAACTGATTTTTTGAAGAAAATGATTAATCCCATGAAAACCTTCATATTGTTTACAATTTTAAACTGTAAATTTAAGAAAGCAGTTTATGCCTTGATAAGCATTATTAGTTTTGAAACCATGCTTTAAAAACTTGGTACCTAGATCAGCTAAAGCTGTCTGAATCCACAAGACACGCATGGAAGAGACGTGATATCCAATATGTGGGTGGTAAGGACAGTGAGTAGAGGTACCTCGGGGAATGCCCTTGGGTTCACTACAACCAACCAAGGGGAGCCACAGGCCTCCAGTGGAACGAGGATGCCACCAAGATGAAAAAGGAAGCTATCCCAGCCCTAAGCCTGGCCCATTTCTCAACTGTTCAGAAGGACAGTCTGAAAAGATCCGTAATGGCCAAGAGAGAAGTCCTCCAGAACGATTAACTGGCTACAAACTACAGGTTAAGGGCATTTCAAACTCAGAAAACAGGATAAGATTTTACAAAGGAACACTCCACACCTGGCCGACAGTAAGAACATGTTACAAAAACGGCAGTATTAAAGCTTCCCCAATTAATCCATTAACCATAGCTTAGAAAGTTCAGTGCTCATAAGCAAAATACTCCCTTTAGTTTTTCAACCTGAGTATTTCCACAGGCGCATTTTAAATTGTGTTTATCACCACTGTTACTTGCTAGTAACAACTTCCTATGCCATATAAATTTACACTTCTAAAACACCACATCCTATTCCAATTATCAATCCTGAGAACTAAGAATTAGCTTAACCATTACAGTTAATTTTCAGACTGTGGGAGTAATAGAAGGGAATAATTAATCTCTCTCAAATGGCGCTATTGTAGTACGTAAGTCCTTCCTCACTTCACTCTGATTTAGTAAAATCATCGTCTTCCACCTTGACTCAACAAAAGCCAAATGGCTATTTTAAAGAAAATCAAGTCATCACCAAATCCTTCAAAAGCGTGTATCAACTTGTTTTGAAACTGAAACACGCATTATATACACACAGTTCGAGTAAAGCAATTTTGAGGAAAAACGCCTCTACGGAAGAGTTTAAATCCATGAAATAATTTAAAGTAAAAACCTCTTTATCAAAGCCACAAGGTATATCCTGAATCGGTCAGGCCCAAGCCCAATACAAAAATGTACATAACGCAACTTGTGAAGATGCAGTGTTACCGCTCTATTAGCTTGAGAACAAAGAGCAGCTTCCTGAAGTAAAATGTCCCTAAGCCTCTAGAAGGCCTCCCAGCACCCTCAGGAGCCATGAAGGGGCGTCCCAGACGAGCAGGCGGCCAGGCGTCCGCCTCAGACCACCCGCCGCACGGCGGCCGGAGCCTCGTCAGAGCGTTCGCCCAGGCCTGATCCCAGAGTGAGCTCGGGGTCAGCGCCCCGACCACCGCTGGCCAAAGAACAAAAGCAAAAGTTTGCAACAACGAGAAGAAACCTACAGTTCAGAAAGGAAAGCAAGGGAGAGGCGCTCACCTGCAGTTGGGCGGAGGGTCTAGAGTGATGTCCGCCAGCTCCTTCTGAATCCTGGATCGGGAGGCGAGGGGAGAGAAAGACAGCGGTCAGGGGGGCGTCTCCCGTCCCCGCAGCGCCCCGCCACTGCACGGAGCCCATCCCCCGCCCCGAGCCGACGCCGCCCGGCCTTCACGCCGGGCCCGGCCTTTGTCTTCGGCCTACCTAGGCGCCCAGAGCATCAGTTCAGACCAAAGTTTGCAGCCCTGAAGCCTCCACCACCTTCCAGACCAGCCTGCTGTCTTTACCACCTGTGCTGCCCCCATCGTGTCAAGCCCTAAAGGGCTATGTTACAACCTAAAATCCCACCTGCGCAGTACAGGAGGAGAACATGCACAGTCTAAAAGCGATCAACCCGACGGGTGCTCTGCTCTTCCCGAAGGTTTCTGAGGGTAGGGCAGGGCTAGCTAGCTGCGACTGCAAAACGTTTTATGAAGGCAGTTTTTTTTTCAGTTAAAAGTCAAGAGAAATTTACCTCGAATTGGGGTGGTGATTAGGGAAGTTCCTTAAACTTTCCGATTGGAGGATATTTCTTGTCCCCTACAAATCTGGTTAACTGTAGAAAGGGCTTTGCTATCTCTGCTATCTACTTATCTGTGTCCTGCTCAATTCTTTTCGCTATCGATCATATCAGCTCTGGGACCTTGGCATCCCCGGTGTTTGACTCATTATTATATGTTAGGCAAAGTTTGGATCTCGGGCTTCCTGATTCTTGACCTGCATCTACTAGAATGGCTGTGTATGTTAAGGCCTATGTACAGGGGGAAAAATCACCTCCCCCTTAGCACAACTGGTATAAATTCTCCTTGTCAGTCCAATCTCTCTGATAAAATAGTCACTGAAACGGGAGCTCTCTCTTTAATACCTAAAAAAGATAATACCAGACAGCTTTATCCACTTCATTTCTACAGCAAACATTCATACTACTTCTAGAGTACTGGGAAAAGATTTCTAAGAGTAATCCACACATGTTCCACAGAGTATTTCTTATCCAGTCCACCTTCAGCTGTGGACTAAAAACCAACAAGCAGTTTCCTTCTAACATGCAGTAAATAACCTTCTGTCGGCCAACTCAGGCTTCTCTTTCATTCTATCTCCTAGTATATGTGCCATTCCCAATTCTATTCCTACCTTCCAAATCAGTTTCTCAAAGCAACATCTACAGGGTCTCAGCGACCTCACATTTCCCCTTGTTCTTTCGTAGATAAGAGTCCCCCTCTGTTTTTTCCCCTTTACTATTAACCACAGCTCTGCTTTATGGTAACAGCCACTCTTTCAGCAAGATTCCCAGGGAGCTAAAGCTGATGTTAACTTGATAGATAAAATTACTGTTGGAAGCTTCCCACCTTTCATTTATTTAACACCTACCATCTCTTTCCCAGGCATTTTCAAATGAGTTTTTAACTTCCTTAGCGTAAATGGACAAATTGTGTCTAATGAAGAAAAAAAAAAAATTTGTCTCTAATTTGCTTACATAAAGCAGACAATTCTATATTTGACACCTATGCCTTTATCCCCAAATATATTCCTGTACACTAGGGGAATCCAGCAACTAACACAAATATTTTGCCTTAGGTCAGGCCAAAAGCTGCCCTTAGCTTGGATCAGAGCGCCCGGAGAATGGGAGCGGGAATGAAGAGAAGGCTCCATCCAAAGCAGGCAGGATAGACACCAGGCTCGCAGAGAGCCAGCACAGGGCTGACCAAAGAGGGCCGCTCAGGACTCCTGGGAAGCCGAGATGCAATCAAACGACCCCTCTGAAAATGAGGATCTTGCCAAGGCACCTTGCCACTTAACTCCACCTCTACACTGTTCACAGTAAGCCAGAGCCTCTCCTTCATCTCCTGTGCTTAGGTCACCAAAGCATTTTATCAACTTTTCAAATTTCAAGTCAGGGAGAATGACAGGACAGACTTTCTAGCTAAGAGTTTTGGTTCACTACTCAGTGGAGAGACCTGAAGCCTCCTGTTCCATTTTTTTAAACGTTCTTTTAAGACAGACATCTCTATCTAAACTACCATTTCGAATCCTTACTATCTTTCTGGTCTGCCACTTTAAAGTTTAATGACTGTCCACTGGACAGCAGGATTTATGAAAAGGAATAGGGGCTCCAAGGAATCTGCTGTAAACTAAGGCTCGTGGAGGTCCGAGGAAGCTACTGAAGGATGATGGAGGTTAAAAGTAGCTTCTACCAGAGACATAAGAGAGAGAGAAAAAAGAAAAAGAGCTACTGCTTGAATTCAACTTGTGTTGACAGAAGTATTTTTGTTTTGTTTACAACATAAAAGAAAACAGCATGAAAAAAAATTTGAGCTTCCCTGAAACTCAAGTGGAAGTTCTCAAAAAGAACAAAGAACCCCCAAAACAGCCTAGAATAACTAACTGACATAATTTGATTCATTAATTTGTCTCAACTCTCTAAATCAGAAAAATCTCTTTAAATCCCATCTGAAACATCCATCTCCACCTATTAAATTTTTTACTCTGCTAATGTAAGTTAGTTATTCCTTCCGCAATTTGTCGAGAAAGCACTATTCAAAGACAGATACCATGTGCAACAGGTGAGAAGGAAGTAAGACGGTGATAGAAATCGTCCTAACAGAGCTGTCCGGGCAGGTATTAGTAATTCAGTGGGATGACAGTCTTGGGGAGGGTCACAGAGCAGTGATTAACAGGACAAATAATTTGCAATCAGATCTGGGGGTCACTGGTTACCACTCATGCGGATTCTCACAAATTGCATCAAGACACGGGGGAGGCAAGCCACAACAGCTGCGTGTAGACAACGATCAGAAGAAAAAACAGAAGCAACAGAGAAATAATTCGGGCTTTCAAGGTCCTTTTTTCCCTTTTTATGAACACAGAAGCTTTGAGGAGCGTGTAGGCTACCCTCACTGGAGGCGGACCCAGTGCAGCCAGAGGCCGTGCGGGCAATAGGAAGCAGCTCTGGGGGCGGGGTGGGGTTCGGTACCTCTTGGCGCTGGTGGAGAGGAGTTTGGAGTTTTTGCTCATGCTGACTTTGCTCTCCTTCTTCTTGGGGGTGTTTGCTTCTTTCTCGGTTTGCTGGTTGGAAGACGAAGACGAGGAGGAGCTGGTGCTGGCCCTCGAATCGTCATCCGACATAGCGAACCCCCCGCCCCACCCCGCTAACAGCCCCTGCAGGGGGAGAGAGACAAAACAGAAAGGCCGGTGTAGACACGGAACTCGGGCGCTGTCAGGAGGGCTCCGGCCCCGGCCGCCCCCCGCCCTCCACGCGCTTTCCCGAGTCTCCAGGCCCATCACGGCCTCTGCGAGTCGGACGCGGGCTGTTTGTCTGTATTCCCGGCCCCGAGTGGGGGCCGCGGTGGGGACCGGCCGAGAGGGCGGCGCGCCGCCCCCTCCGCCGCCCCCGAGGCTCCCCTCCGGGCGGGGGCCGGGCCGGCCCGCTTGGGGCGGAGTGCGGCGGCCCCCGGGGGTCGCGGGGGCCGGGATCGGAGTTCGGCGAGGCGGCGGGGCGGGGAGGCCGGGGAGGGGCGAGGGAGGAANCCCCCCGCACGCGCGCCCTCCCCCCCAGCGCGCACCTCAGCACCTCGGGCGCGGGGCCGGGGGCCGAGGTCTCGCGTGGCCTGGGGACCCCGCCCCCGCCCTCGCTGGGAGGGGTAGGGGCGCCGAGAACTGCCCGGGGTGGGGAGATGACCTGAGGAAGTCCTCTGGCAAAGGGCTTCTGCCAGGGGTACCCGAGGGTGGCCGACTGGTTTTTTTTTTTTTTTTAAAAAAAGGTGCTGTGGTAGCCAGGACTTCGGACGAGAGAATGCCCCCGGAAACTGCTCCTAAAAAGTGATCAGCCTAAGGGGAAATGAGAAATCCCACGACAGGCTTTCCTGTGGGCTGACCTGGCTTCTCCCTCTGACGGTTTACCTGCTAGGAGCAGAGGTCGGGGCAGGCTCGCCTCTGAGAAACGGGACTTCTCTGCCAGACACGTGCCATTTTACAATTTTAGATATTTCCAGTCATTTTTATAGACAGAGGTGGTGTTTTCTAAAAGTGCTTTCGTGACAGGTAAAACCAACCAACATGCGATAGTCTCACGAATGTGAGAAATCAATGGGAATAAACTCTGTACTACTGCGTTAGACTGGATTTAGGATTTTTGGTGTCGAATTTGGATTAAAAGTTTGGGGGACCGCTGTACCTTCTTCAGCTACAATACTAATGCCATTCAAATAATCATACTATTTTTATAAAAGTCCCTCTAATTCTGAATTGTTCATTTAGTGTTCTTACCAAGATTAATTTTTTTAAGCCATCAAATTACAGTTATGTTTCTCACTTATTCCTCATTTCAATCGAAGGAAATTGAAGAAATACGTCTGATGTTACACGTACTAGGTGTAGTACATTAAGCGACTGTCCAGTCACATTTCCATGTGCCACTCTAAATTATCTCATTCAAATTGCCATCCTTTTCCATGGCAACAGTGGCTTCAGTTACCACAGTACAACACAATTTATAAAGCCCGTGGCATATCCTCTAACCAGGAAAACAAGCATTCTTACCACCTAAACCCCTCCTAGCCCTCAACGTGAAACTCCAACTTTATTAAGACTCATAAAGTAATTGTGCAGACTTCTTGCTCAACCCTTACAGGGAAACATGTACCTACCAAGGACTGTCATGGAATCAAGGGATCTAAAAGCTGATAAAGAAAATATATATAGGTCATCATTTCAGCCTCCTATCTCCAGACAGAGCAATCCCTCAGTCGGTCAGATGCTTAGAAATTTTGAAAAGATCCCAGATGTGTGTTTGATTTCAGGAGTCCTAGTAGAGCGTATAAAAATAATACCATTCTCTGCTGTATGTTATATGAAAACAACCCAAAAGAATCTGCTTAAAACCAGGCTGTTTATATCTTTGGATGTAAAAGATATAAATTTAAGGGAAATCAATAAACAAACATGAACTCAGTAGGGATAAAAAAAAAATCTGAAGACAGTTATTAAAATTGAGACTTCCTCTTACGAAAATTTGGGTTTCTGATTCTTTAAAATACATGTCTACACTGTCAGTGTCACTGACTCAATAGACGTGTGTTTGAGCAAGTTCCAAGGGTTTTGGTAATGGACGTGGAAGCCTGGTGTTCTGAAGTCCACGGGGTCGCAGAGTCAGACAGGACTGGGCGACTGAACTGAACTGAACAGTGTGAGTACAACTAGTGAAGAACGCAGGAAAAGAAAAGGTTTGATTTGCTCATATGACTGGGATGGTGGCTGAATTTTTTCTTTAATTTTGGTTTGTGTAAATCATATGTTTGGATACTAACTATAATAATATTTTTTTTGAAAAACCGAACGTGGTATTTTGTGTTTCATCGATGCTTGGATTAGACTGGTCCCTGGGGAGACAAATCATGAAATGGAAGGGCCCCTCCTCTATAGGGGAGTGCCTTCCCAACCACCAGTCTGGAGGGACACTCGCTCTTTTTTGTGTCCTAGTCTTCTTATCTCTAACCCTGGTTAGTGCTTTATGGTTCAGGAATGACTTGCCTGCGGAGGGGGGAATAAAAACCTCGAAATGTTAAGAAAAGAATCTGCTGCTCTCGGAAGACTATTCTTTATGTCAGGTTATTTTAAAACGACAGTTGTCTCTGTCACAAAAATAATAATAATGCTTCATTTGTAACCTTCTAGCTCTTCTGCTTATTAGCTGCAAGGCCTAAGGAGCCAAATGGACCTCTCTAAGCCTCCCTTTCCTCATCTATGAAGGGCCATACCTGTGCCATAGTGGCTAGTGAGCTGTAAGAAAGAACAAATGTGTGTCTATAATTAGATGGTTTATTAACTGTTGCTCAAAGTAAAGTGTTCATAATCCCACCCTGATCCTACTTCTCAGGAATTTTGTTAGGACATGGGGTCTTTATGATTCAGAATTGATGACAGTTTAAGAAACCTCCTCAGGAGAAAGATAAGAGTGGAGGAATTAGAGGATTGTATTTACCAAATGGGGCCTAAGATATAATATCTTTGAGTTCAAACTCCTCATGTTGCAGATGAAGAAATTCAGGCCAAGAAACCCGGTGTCTTATCCAAGGTCAAGCAGAAAGTCGGTGGCAGAATTACAGCTGTGGTCCATGGTGTCTGCAGATGATTTTGTTTCTTCTGGCAGTGTTTGGTAGGGGGAAGAAGGGAGAGTCTCAATTATGTTAAAGAACAATATATTAAATATATTTACTATATAAAGAACTCTGATAATATTTTAAAGAACATTAACAATCAGCATAGTTGGGAAAGTGGAAAAAATGGAAGCTACTGAAGGGAATCGCTGAACTTATAACATGTATTGTACTTGAACCAATTAATGATCACTATTGAAGTTCCCTGCTCCCTACTCTGAGAATAATCCTAATTATTTCTTTATTTCATATTGACAGGCATATTTTAAGTAGGTACTACATTCTCATGCTATATTGTCCTGAAGAAAACAAAGGGTGTGCCAGGAAAATCTCCCTCCACCCCTCCCCCCAACTCTGAAAGTCAAGGGCAGGCAAATGCGCATATATATAGTGGCTGCTTTGATAAGAAGGCTCAATCTACATTTAAAAGATGCATTCAGCCAAAAGACCCACGTGGTGCAGTGCTCTGCCATCCCTGGGCTTTGAAAAATTGGGCTCCAGTTTAGTAATGCCTCTTTCTGATTCTCAAAATGATCCAGTTCTCTTCCTCAAGCCATCTTTAGAGTATTAAGTATGTTTAAATAGAAGCGCTTGAAGTTCAATGTATTGACTGATCCCTAGGAGGTGAAATGACATAGTTGATTGAAAAGAAAGAGACCCCATCTAACTTTCGAGCACTCTTATTTTTGGTTTGTTGCTTGCACGGAACTTCAAATATTTCATGAAGCTGATCGTTCTCTTTGGCCAATGTCACATTCAAAGAATTGTCAAGCAAATTAACATTTGTTACTATGACTTTTTAAAGCTACCTTATGACTTGATAGAAAGACTTCCTTTTTTTTTTTTTTTGGTCAAAAGGAAAAAGCTCTTATGTTGGGAATGTAAAAAGAATTTCTATAAAGCTTTTCCGAAAAGATGGACTCACTGCAGATTTCATTCAACTTGTTTTATTTTATGTTGCTCCTTTGCTTGAAAAAGTCATTCCTTATACAAAAGGATAGAAGGATAAAGAAGATTTGCAAAGAAGGATCAATTACATGAAGCCTAATGAGATCTGGGGTTTTTATATTCAATTTGGGTTGTTTTTTCCACAGGCTTTTTTTTTTCCCCCAAAAAAAACACTGATCCCTTTGAAGGACTCTAAGCATTGCCCGACTCTATTGGTTCTGAAGGTTGCTATCACAAAGCTAGGACAGAGCTAAATTATTTTTTCTACCACATGGAGGCATTGAACAACCATGTGATTTTCAGAATTTACCAAGACTTGATAAGAGTCAAAAGGTTTCTCAGGCAACAGCAAAAAGGTGGGTTTGATGTGACTGGTACTTAGTATGGAAGCATTCTTCCCAGTTTATAATTTAGCGTCTCCTCTGAGAGACCTATTCTCTAAACACACTAGCCTTCAGCCTCCTATACGTTGATAACATAAGGTCACAGTGTATTCGAACATACTGGATTGCAGCTTGAGCAGTTTGGTCCATTAGTTTCTGAAACCTTTTCTTAAACGGAACACATTTTCAGTTCCCTGAAATTTGGAGGGATGAAAGAGTATGGAAAATTACTTTTTTTTCACGCTAAGTAGCTATTGAGAAACTTCTTTAAAAAAGATCAACTTTCCCTCCGTTCCCTGGTGTGGCGAATCTCGAGTCAAGGATCCAGTGTTGAATCCAAAAGTTACCTCAGTAACTGCAAGGCCCAGAAGCAGTTGGCAGCAAAGATACCAATGTGGACTTGCTAAGCCTACTTGATGAGTTCTGTCTTTGCAGCAGACAGGACTCAAGTCTCAGCCCCAAATCAATTAAACAACAAATACGTATTAACTGCCCTATGTGTGCTAAGCACAGTGCCAGGTGTCGTGGCAGAAATAAAGTCTGAGAAGTATTCTCTGTGTGCTTTGGTTGTGATGCCTCTTTGGGATCCCTTGGACTGTAGCTCGCCAGGCTCTTCTGTTCCTGGGAATTCTTTCTCCAGGCAAGAACACTGGAGTGGGTTGCCATTTCCTCCTCTAGGGGATCT